CATGGATGGACCTAGAGTTTACTGTGCTGAGCAAAGTAAGTCAGACAAAGACAAATACCATATGATTAAACTTATATGTGGAATCTAAAAAAACAATCTAAACAAACAAACAAAACAGAAACAAACTTGTAAATACAGAGAACAAAAACTGATGGTCACCAGAGGGAGGTGGGGGGAGGGCATAAAAGATGAAAGGGATTAAGAAGTAAAATAGCCAGTTATAAAAATAGTCATGGGGATGTCAAGTTCAGCATAAGGACTGTCTATATACATAAAAGCCTAATATGCTAAGAGTCCAACTGTTCGACCATTCGACCAGTCGCTATGACACACACTGACCACCAGGGGGGTAGATGCTCCGACTGGTAGGTTAGCTTGCTGCTGGGGTCCGGCTGATCAGGACTGGGCAAGATGGGCTGGACACACCCTGAAGCCCTCCCGTGATCCCTCCCTGGCCCCAGTTGTGCACTGGTGGGGTCTCTCAGCCTGGCCTGCCCTCTCATAATCCGGGACCCCCTCAGGGGATGTTGGTTTCAGCCGGTCCCCACAGGCCAGGCTGAGGGACCCCACCGGTGCACGAATCTGTGCACCGGGCCTCTATAATCAATAATATTGTAAAACTGTGTAAGGTACCAGACGGATACTAGACTTAACAGGATGATCACTTCCTAAGGTCTATCAGTGTCTAGCCACTAGCTGTACACCTGACAATAATATAATATTTTATGTCAATTGTAACTTAAAAATAAATTTAATAATAAAGAAGCGGAGTTCATTGCCGCTGAGTTGGGGGATGGCAAGGACTCATCTCACGTGCGGGGAATGCCCTGACACCAGGTGCCTCTGGAGCAGAAGCCCGGGGCTGTTTCCTGCCCTGGCTTGTCTTCCTGTAAGACAGGAGACCATACAGCAGCACAGCCTCAGAGAGCCTAATAAGGAAGGGCTGGCTACCCCTCGGCCATTCCAAACTAATGAAAACCTATCCCTTTTTTAAGATTCCCAGGAGAAAGAGCCCGAACCTTCCCTGTTCATGGCTTCTACCTTAAGACCCTCACTGTCAGGAAATTCTTCTCTGACTTAGTTACCTTTTCTAACTAAGGCTGAACCACGTTTCCTTTTCTCTGCTTTCAAAATGCTCCCCCAAATCTGCATTCAGATCAGAGAAAAATGAAGAAAGTCATTTTAAAGGAATAACCATATGAAGCTAAGACTTGCAAAGCTCAATACAAAACTTGCAGGCACCCTCTGGTCTGGCTACGGAAGCTTCAGGCAAAGGCTGACTGAGAGACACCCATGATGGTGACCTCTCTCGTTCTGACACAGGCTTTTCGAGTATGTTTCTAGTTGGCTGAAACAATTTTGGATGACAAAACAAAAGACGCTGTCTCCGGATTGGATGGGAGGGTGATCTGGCTGGACCACCTGCCCCACGTGTATGACTGAGGTTGACTTGTTACTGAATGTTCTCATCACCATTGCAGCTGTCCTCAAGAGGAATCCAGTGAGTGAAAAAGTCACATGGCAATGTCCTGGTGACAAGGGCCTGCCTGTGGATTTAGGGATGAGCCTTTCGAATATGAAATCCCAGTATGTGCACTCTTAACCTTCCCTTCCCTGAATATGAGTGATGCAAAATTACTCAGGGCAGTCAGGGGTCTGGAAGCAGATTTCACTCGGAAATCTCAAAGGGTTTTAGAAAAAGCATTACATTTGAGGATTATGGCCATTTTACTCTGTAATCCAGAGAAGGGAAATGGTGACCAGGTCTACACCACTGCAGAAAACTGTCCCTGTGGTAGACTGCTTAACAGCATCCTCCTGGTGGGAAGCAATTGTTAGTTGCTGACTCTGTCAGCTCAGTCTTTTCCTGCTTCTGAAGGTCTGAGGTGTAGCCTTTGATGTGCCTCTTACCTAATAATTAATGATCGAAAAACCAGACCTCCCACCGCTGTGCTACTTAAGAATGTTTGTCAGTCAGTCACCCTGGTGTACACCCCTGTGCTTCTCCATGGGAAATAACCATTTCCTACAATCCCCAAACCCCACTTTCTGTCTTATAAACCTTGTCAGGTAAACGCGGAAACATTGAAAGGCATTGCTTAGTCTAAGGCTTCTTACACATATTCTGAAATCGTTCAACAATAACAACAGAACCTTTAGCAATAATGGGCCTCATCACTTTGTGAATTTAAAATATAAAAAAGAAGGGTATGAAGTCATAATGTTTTATGCTGCTAAAAACACTGAGATGACTCATAGAGCTGGAGAATAGGGATTCCCTTTAGAAATGATTCTGTCAAAAGAACATAATCCTGAACAACAAAACTTTGTAGATGACAAAGTCCTATTTTAAGTTGGCTTTTGTCAAATAACTTTAACCTTGTTTCCCAAAGTTTTGCAGAATTGTTCCTTATTTATTTATTTGTTTATTTACTTATTTTTATATTTTTTATTGATTTCAGAGAGAAAGGGAGAGGGAGCAAGAGACAGAAACATCAATGATATGAGAGAATCATTGATTGGATGCCTCCTGCACTTCCCACACTGGGAATGAGCCTGCAATCGGGGCAAAGGCCCCAACCTGGGAATTGAACTGTAATCTCCTCGTTCTTAGGTTGATGCTCAACCACTGAACCACACTGGCTGGGCTTTATTTATTTATTTATTTATTATTTATTTTGCACTAACCTAAGTAAATCCCCTGCCAAGCAATGGTTCTATGGCAAGAAGTAAGTCATTTGGGGAAGTAACACTAGAGAACCTTAGGATTCACTCTTTTCTTTCTTTTTGTTTTTGTTTTTTCACTCAAGAAGTATTTATTTACTGACATGTGTGCCAGACATGGGCTGGGTACTGGGGATACAGTGACCAAAAAACAGACCCAGTCCTTAATTTGTTGGTGGCTCTTGGAAATGCTGACAAGTAAACAGGCAATGACAGTGAATGTGACAATGAGTTATGACAGTGCTGTAAGAGGGAAGGGGTGGGGGGAAGCTAAGACCCAGCTATGGAGGGGCAGAGGGTAGGGTCAGGGAAACCCTTGGGGCGGGGGGTAGGGGGGAATGCATTTTCTAAGCTGTGGTCTGAAAGCTTAACAGAAACCAGCCAGGTACAGGGACTGGTGGGAACGAGTGTTCTAGGAAGAGGGAATCACATGACGTATTTTCTAAAAAGAGATGGGAGGAGTATGAATTCTTGCTTGGTCTAATTCAACATTTTCTTGATAGTTAAGGGCTGAAGATGGCCTTTCTAAAATTGTGCCCATCAGTAATAAAATATCTTTTCTGTGACTCAAGTCCATTTCAGATGCCTCCATTCAGTCTTCCCAGGGCAGGCTGGCCAAGAGAAGGTGCCTTCACTGTCACGGAGGCCTCACTTCCTGTTTCAGAGGCGGGCTGCTATCTAAACCTCCAAACCTTGCTACAAAAAGAGCAGCTAGGGCACTGCAGACTACTCACCTGTGAAAGGCTCAGACTGATTCTTAACAACTTAAAGCTCCAAGCACTTTGTTAGTCCTGATCCTGCTTACTGAAAAGATCTTGCTCCTTTATAGTCCCCCCTACCCACTCACACCCCAACCCAGATCACAAGTTTGACTCTTCATAAGACTGGAGGCCTTGCAATCTAGCCTAATAAAGACATAATCCAAAATGTGGGAGAACTCTATATATGTGGATAAATTAAGCACAGCATTTCCTTGTCATAGAGGAAAAAATTACAAAACAACAAAGGATCCTTAAATGTACTCAAAAGGGTGAATGATTAGCTAATAATGGTATATCCTTTTCTAGAATTTATGCAGCCATTAACAAAGATGACAATTGATAATAACTTGAAAAATGCTAGTGAAGGACAATGTTAAGTGGAAAAATATATAGAATTATACATACATTATGATCACAACCATGTAAGGAATATAAATATAAATATAAGATATGCCAAAATGAGAAAAGTAGTTGAATTAGTGTGCTGTGATTATGAGCTGTTTCCTATTTTCTCTGTTTCCTACATTGTGTTTATAATGTCTTTATAACTTATTTCCTATTAAAAGTATTAACTTTTTAAATTAGCAGCTGGAACATTTTGAAATTCACGTAGCATATACAAGGGAACATGAGAGAAGAGTACTTCTATGTGACTCTCCACGCTGGCGCAGTGTGGTTCCCCAGGGAGGGAGCATGTGGGTGTCATTGCAACTGACTGATGAACTGTAGCTTCTTCCCAGCAAACTGTCATGGATAAGGAGCAGTGCCCTATGAATTTGATAGACATTTGAGAATATCAAGCAAATATAGTTACAAAAGTTGGAGTTGAGCAACAGATTTGGAATTAAGTTATTTAAATCTTTAGGGCTCTGGGTAAAACAATGGTTTTTTCAAGAGTAAGCTGAGCAAGACCAGGGTCTTTGAGCCTAATTACTTTTTGGACTTCCCTGACACTGATGTGTTCTTAGTTCGGAGACACATTGATTGATTTCCTCTGTCATTTTCTCCAGATGTTCAAGGGAGATGGCAATGTTGACGAACAGGATGGTGTCAGGTGCTTACTCAGCTCTTAAAGGGGAGACAGAGCCAAGAGATTGCTTCCCTTTCTTCATCGCTGTGAAAGCTTAACTTGAAATAATGAACTGTGTTTTAGACAATTAAACCAGTTTTGGCTGTAGCAAGAGTTATTTAGGTTATATTATAATTAACTTCTTCCAAGCATAAAGAATAGCTAATGGCAGTTGTGGGATTTCCTTTTCTAGAGATTTGCAACAATAGGGTAGATATACATCTGACCTTGAATGCCTTAGGTGTGGTGTGCAAAGAAACAGAATGAACAAAAATAGCAATCATACACAAAAATACTAGGGTGTGTCCTAATCTTCTCTCAGAGATTTGTACAGATTTAGGCTGAAAAATAGTTTACACTGTTGCCCACCCCTCAGCTGAATCCAAGTGTGAGCCAACCACATCAGTCACAGAAGAAACTTAGAAAGTGGACCCAAAGTCATTTACCTGTACTAGGAGTTCCAGCTTCCTGTCATCAAGAAGATGTACTTGACATCGACGGCCCTCCGTCATCTGCGAAGAAAGAGAAATGATGGTCACCTAGAGTCTAGCAGTCTGGCAAACAGTGAGAGGGTCCCTGTGCTGGCCTCCACCGGGCACATTCTTCTAGGCCAGTGGTTCTCAGCCTAGGCTGCACATTAGAATCACCTGAGAATCTTTTTAAAATCCTGATTTCTGGGCCTCATCCTCCGGAAATTCTGTTTCTTGGTTACTAATGTTGTGGCCCCACCCCATAACAAAGAAACAGAATGTCCAGAGGATGAGGCCCAGAAATCAGGATTTTAAAAAGATTCCCAGGTGATTCTAATGTGCAGCCAAGGTTGAGAACCACTGCTCTAGGCAAAACTTCCCCCGGGGATTTGGGCTATGTAATGCCAACCATGAGCAGCATTGTTCATTCATTCAAAAATATTTATGAGCACTTTCTATGTGCCAGGCACTATTCTGGGAGCAGGGTGTGCAGCGGCATGCAAGACAAGGTTACTGCCCTCGTGGAGCTTACAATCCTATGGGGAAATTTATAATAAAATAGAAAATACATACATAACACAATATCAGGTGGTGATAAAAGTTGCTCATTCTTTAGTCATTCTTCCATTCAATAACTTTATCACCACAAACTAGAGACAGAGTTCAGTATCCAGTCTCTGTCACCTCCCACCTCAAAACTTGTCCCACTTATGATCACCAGGGAGCAGAGGACCACCCCTCTGGCAGCTGCATTTGATTTGTGTCAATCCTCCCCTCTGCTCGTTTATGACCCTAGTCCCACAGTGCTTTCACCTGTGAGAGAACCCCGGGAGAGAGTGCCCAGCTGACCCTAACCCAGGTGCTTGTCACTACTAATACCTCTGTTCGATATAACAGAAAGAGCCCCTCGACAGGCACCAGGAGACCCAAGTTGAGTCTTGGTCCCACAAGGTACTTGGCTGCAGGACTTTGGACAAGCCCCTGTTCCTCTCCGTGCCCCAGTCTCACACATAGAAATGAGTGGGCTGGGCCCAGTGGGTGCTAGTGAATATTTAGTAACTGTCTTTCTGAATTTAAAAAAAGGCATTTGTTTGTAGCACTTGCTGGAGCCCTGACATCACCCTCAAAGGAAATCCCATGAAGAACAAACCTTCCCACACATGTCTGCTGGCCAGCACTCACCAAGCACTGTCTCACTGTGTTCCACATGTCTTCACCATGTCTGCCTTCAAGCTACTGTCACAACAACACCAACAGTATTTCCAAAAGATGCAACAGACATATGTAACCTCAAGAATGTAGGTGATAGTAAAGCATAGTAAACTAATTAGAAAGTGATGGATCTTAGTATTTATTATCTTTGTTTTTAATGTAATTTATTTAATACTATTTTATATAATTTTAATAATGGCTATATTTTACAACTGACATGCAAAATTCCTGAAAATGTAACTACTACTAATATGAGCTGGCTCCAAAACCACTGTCTGGACCTGAAGCCACATCAGGTTCCTCCAGCCTTTGAATTTTTATTTGAACCTGTAACCCTAACTGAAGCTACCTTCTTTTGCCCCAGCTATGAGCAGCAGATCAAAGGGAAGGATGCACACAGCAGATCCTGGTCTCACCTAATTTTACGGCCATCAGGGTCAGTCCCTTCTCCTGAGTACTTTCTCCATGAAACATAGAAATGATATCTTCTTCTCTTTTTGTTTAACAAGTGCTTATTCTCTAACCATCAGCATGTGCAAAGCTGGCATGCACTCCCATAAGAAAATTCTCTGAGTCCTTCCTCAAAAGAAGCCAACCCATCATCCTTCCATGGAGTCAGGCTTCCCTACTGATGGGATCTACACCAAAGCAGCACGTCCTGCGTGGGAGGGGTGAAACCAGTCTCTGGAATCTGAGTTCTAGTGACTCAGCAGTCCCCAGCTTTAAGACAAGTCATCAAGAAAAGTTTCACATGCTCATAAGCACTCTAAAAGAGGCTGAAATAGAGTAAAAATTTGAGGAAAAACTCCAGTCCAAAGACTTGCTATTTTGCACATCTAAGCCAAAGCAGGCAGCTGTGGATATGAGATGGGCCCATGCAATGTCTTTATTCACTCTCTGAAGTCTTAACTTCAGGTGTTAATTGTCTTAGCCACAGCCTTACAAACAGTAATCACCCTAGCCAAATGACTTAATTTAAAAATTCATCAGCTTCAAAAAATAAACAAGTGAGACTACATCAAACTAAAAAGCTTCTGCACAAGCAAAGGAAGCCATCAACAAAATGAAAAGGAAACCCACCAAATAGGAGAAAATATTTGCAAATCATATACCTAAAAAGGGGTTAATATTTAAAATACAGAAAAATAATCATATAACTCAATAGCAAACAAAAAAATCCGATTAAAAATAGGGAGAGGCCTGGCTAGTGAGCCTCAGTGGCTGAGCATTTGACCTATGACTAGGAGGTCACAGTTCAATTACTAGTAGGGGGCGTGTAGAAGGCATCATCATTGATGTTTCTCTCTTTCCCTCTCCCTGCCTCTCTGAAATCAATAAAAATATATTTAAAATAATAATAATAATAAATAGGCAGAGAATCTGAATAGACATTTTTCCAACGAGAGTATATGGATGGCCCACAGATACATGAAAAGGTGCCCAACATCACTAACCATCAGGGAAATACAAATGAAAACCACAATGAGCTATCACCCCATTGTAGTGTAAAAGGTTAAGGATATAAACACGTTCTTGTGTTCCTTATTCACATTCTAATACATTTTTATGAAAACAAAGAAATATTGGTATCTGAAAGACATTACTGTATCAAATAAAGTTTTTGTTGTTTTTGTTTCGTTATCCTTACCCAAAGATATATTCACTGATTTTAGAGAAAGGTAGAGAGAGATAGACAGACAGACACATGGATCGGCTGCCTCTAGTAAGCACCCTGACTGAGAATCGAACCCGCAACCTAGGTATGTACCCTGACCAGGAATCGAACTATGGTAGGCAGGCAGTTAGATAGGAGCAGAGCAAGGATGATGGGCCAGGTACAGAAGGTCACCAGGGTGGAAAGCTCTGGATGCCTAGCAAAGGACAATTGTAGGGTGGGGCCTAGCCCCCAGGGTGACTTTTCTTCCCCTAGCATACCACTGGTCATGTGGTATAGACCCCCTGACCTTTCCTCCCTAGAGATAACATCTATGCCTCAATTGTATTTCCAGGTCTAGAAAAGCAGCAAAACCAGACAAGCAACACCAAGGCTGACCTCAGGACCAGTGCATTGGATAATGACCCCCTGCACTGGTGCCAACCAATCAGTGAAGACCTATGGAAAGCTGTTGAAGAGTCTATTGAGATCTTCCCCTGGGACCTCCCCTAATGTCTCCACCCTTAAAACCCTTAGGACTGAGGACCCAGTGCACTCTCCCTCCCAGGAGCACACCTGTGCCTTTCCTTTCCCCCTTCCTTCTCCCCTCACCCTTGGCACATTACCGTTAGCTTCCTCATTCCCAAGCTCCTAGGGCCCTTCCTTTACCTCTATAACTTATTTTCTAAGTCCATTTCTTCTACAAATTACTTCTTCTACCTCTGTGATTTTATAAATAAACTAGGGCAGGGTCCCTCACCCTGGCCGGTGGGGATTGGGCTGAAACTGGCTCTCCCAACATCCCCTGAGAGGTCCTGGATTGTGAGAGGGCACAGGCCAGGTGGAGGGACCCCACCAGTACATGAATCCATGCACCGGGCCCCTCCCCCCGGCCAGCCAGCCCCCATCCGTACACGAATTCATGCACTGGGTCTCTGGTATGCATATCAGATCTTTGGTTAATCTCTTCCCACCCTCCCCCTCCCCCTTTCCCTCTGAGATTCATCAGTCTGTTCCATGTTCCCATGCCTGTGGTTTCCACTCCTGCATCGAGCGTCTGCCCCGTGGTGGTCAGTGCATGTCATAGCTACTGGTCAGATGGTCAGACAGTCACATAGGCTTTTATATATATAGATGTTCTCTTATAGTTTGTGCTTGGCTTTGAATTCTTTCCTATCTAGAATCCAAGTACCAAGGTTGCTAAACCCAGGTCTGGTCTGACCCCAAGGGTCTAGTACAGCCATGGGCAAACTACGGCCCGCAGGCTGGATCCGGCCCGTTTGAAATGAATGAAACTGAGAAAAAAAAAAAAAAAAAGACCGTACCCTTTTATGTAATGATGTTTACTTTGAATTTATATTAGTTCACACAAACACTCCATCCATGCTTTTGTTCTGGCCCTCCGGTCCAGTTTAAGAACCCATTGTGGCCCTCGAGTCAAAAAGTTTGCCCACCCCTGGTCTAGTACCTGGTGCTGTTCCTGCTGCCTATAACAGAACCTGCAACCTTTCAGCGTATGGGACACTCCAACCAATCAATCCACCTGACCAGGCCTCAAATAAAGTTTTAATCACAGTATTAAGAGATAGTACTTACTTTCCTCAAAATACTTCAAAACATGCCAAGTGTGACATGACACTGAGTTCACACCCATGTCTAGAAGTTTGCCCTGAGGTTCTCATTTTCATTGGAAACATAACATTTTAATTACATTAATCTCACCTTATCAGCTCAGCACTTTAAGGAAGTAATATGCATTGAGATTTATTGAGATTTTGAGATCCACCCAAGGTCTTCCCAGTTCATTCATCTCTTCAACAAAGTCCCATAGCTCAGTCTGGTGATTTATAAGCACGCTCCCATTTCAATTGGGAATTTGTAAGCCGCCTCCTTTTTGGAAGACAATATGTTGCTGAAAAGTCAGCCCAGAAATGTGAATCTAAACAGAAACTCAACTTGGAATCATCATGTTTAAAAGTACAACTATCATTTGAGAGGACTGCAGTTTTTCCTCAAAAGGAGTACATGTGTTTTTTTCATACTGAAGTGAAATGGGAGTATCCTGTTATCAGTTCAGAAAAGGCTTACCATTCTGGGTGTGTACAGACAAAGAGTGGACATCTGTAGCTTTGTCTGCTCACCAGGGACACTGAAATTTCCTTTTGAATACTAACAA